AGAATGAAAAGGTAAAAATTGATGATTTCCTAGAACCCATATCTATTATGAAAAATCTGTTTGGATGTAATCCATTGAAGACGTACCGGTAAGTGAAAGAACAGGTTCGTCAGGATTGAACAGAGGGAAAAGGACGCAAACAATTATAGACGTCCAGACAATTACGCTGATTATTTTCTTTTTTTCTTACAATCTTTTCGCGGAATTTTGAAGCTTAAGTCGTTTGAAAGGTATTTATAAATATGAAATCGACTGAATCAATCAGTTAGATAAGAATATGACTTTGAAATGATTAAAGATTATGTTATATGGGCAAGTTAGCAATCTTCTGGAGCAGTATTGTGAACATTGTATTTTTGAATGCTCTTTGTATTGAATTCATTGTTTCGTTTTGTTTGGTATATTTTTATTACTTTCTGTTCATCAAAATCGAATGTATCTAGAAAATACAAAATTTTAGCAATACACTCGAGTTTTATTGGTCGTTTACCAAATATGTGTTGTTCTTTTTCTTCTTGATATGAATATATTTATTTCTTTCTCTCATATATTTAAATAATGAACTGTTATTTGATAAAAATGCAGCAGCATAATTGAACAAGCACGTCTTTCCTGAAAGTTGTCTTTGATGGATTGAATATTCAGGAAGGAAGAAAATCGGTAAAACTGGACAAATCTAGACAGGGCAGGCGGTAAAGGAGCTGAAAAAATGTGATATTTACCTGGACGTTGTTAATGCATGACCCCATACTAGAGAAGCACTTTCCTTTGTTTTTATTCGAAATATAAAGTAAGCATATGAAAACAGAAAATGAACACAAGGAAAATGCAATTATACGCCGATCAATCACTGTCCATGTGAACGCATCTTAACAATTCTTTTCTTTTCCATAACAGCAATGTTGGTTTCACAATCTCCTAGAAATGGAGATTCCGCAATGATCTTAATCATTCCTTATCGATGACTATTTTCTATAAATCAGTATAAAAAAATCTTTAAACATCAGAAAGTTTCTTGGACTTCGGTGCAATCTATTTTCAAAAAAACTAAAGTTTGAGTCTGAACGACACATAAATGAATGAAGAAGGAGAAAGACGAAATTCTTTAAACCACATGACGATGCAGCATAGCTCTACCATCATGAAAGCTGCATTTGTCATTTAATCCATTCATATTTATAGTTAATATCATGACTACAAAAATGAAATAAGATTCTCTCAGAAATAATGCATTTTCTTTTTGAGTCCTAAGAATTCTAAAGTTTTTACGAAAGAACTTCATGTAAACTGAAGGATGTTTCTGTTATGTGTGCTCAGAAATCCCTAAACCCATAAATAGTACGAGGGAAGCGCTAAAATTAAAAGGAATTTATTCAGATGCTATTCGGGTTTTCCATAGTAGTAAATCGATTTCTGAAATTTCTTCGAAAACTTGAGATCTCTGAAGTTTGAAAAACGTTCAGGGTGTCTAAGATATGTTCGAAAATTATTGCTCGATTTCTAGCAAATGCTTTCACCATTTCCGCTACGCGGAAAACCAACAAAGATTTTGAGAAAATAGTGAAATTAACAACGATTTCCGAAGAAACCTTTTGGTTTTCGAAAATAATATAATGGTTTCTAAAAATAAGATTGTAGATTGTTGATTTTTGGAAAAACGTTTTTTTTTTATAATGCAGAGTCTGTTGAGTTCTGAATCCTCAAGAATTCGAACTTCACGGAATTTGAGCACATCCGTATCATATTGTCTGACTTTAATAATGGACTGTGAGAGCACTGAAACCGTAATACTCACTCTACGAAGACACACAACTTCATTCGTTTTTAAACTTTTAGGGTGAAAAAAGTCAGATTGTTAGAAGAAAAGATGAATATCTTAGAAATTCTTGTGAACATGAAAATTAATGATAGAGTAAAAACTGTAAGAAAAGAAAAATTCAATTTCGGATGAGACCATGGCTGCAGAAAAAAAACATTATGTTTTGAAAAATGATAAGAGGCAGTTATCTCACACATATGATGACAAAGATAAACAGAGCTAACAAGCCAGAGTATAACAATACGAACATTTTTATCATTTCATTCTCCTTGAAGTGTAGTATTTATTCTTTCCATCATTGAAAGTATTTATTAAAAAAATACATGTGGTCGAACGAAAAACTGCAGATTATTCTATGCATACTTGCTATCATTGGATTGCAAACGTCTGGTGAAACAAATGAAGTTGGTACGTGTATCAAAAACAGATTTGTACTGAAGAAATACAGCTTGTCCCGAAAGTCATTCGTTCTAAGGTCTTTACACAACTCTTTTCTTTTTTAATCTAAGAAATAACTTTGTAAAATTTGGTAAGCAGGACTAGTCCGTAATCTTGACTTTTTGGCTACGGGTGATTAACAGATCGGGTCGAGAGGTTACACAATAGTGATGCTACAACGTAACCGTGCAGTTTCGAAGATTTGCAGTGTTGAGTTTTTGCAATATTACGACTTTTTCAGAAAAAATCATCGCATGTCCATCGTCTGGATTATTTCATCATGAGCAATCTAATCTTGATTTGTGATTGGTTTGAAGACACGCCATCATCCACAACAAAATACAAATTGAAACCAAGAAGATAATGAAAGACAAAATAAGTTATAGTCTCATTCATTCATCCATAAAGTCTTGAAACGGCTCTTGGTGTAGATCATTTAATACTTCTGACACATTCAGCCTTTATTGATCGTATATTTATCTGATTTCCTCCGTATAGTAGGACCTTCTTTCAACTAGAGAAACTTACTAACGGTTGAATGTGCAAAGTGCATTTGAGGCGGCTTGAAACAATACTATATGCACAAAATTTTTCGAATCATTTTTACACTTTTCTCGCCATTGCCAGTGCAATTTCCAGTCACCTCGGTATGTTTCACATCAAAAAAGTGTCCGTTGATTAAACATATATTGAAATCGAACATGTCTGTCTTGGTCTTGATCCTTCCTCATGTCGACTTCTCAAAGGCTCCAACAGAAATATTTACGCGTCATTACCATTGTCTAGCTTCACTCATTACAGTGTCATTGTACTTTTTTCCACTTATCTGATCACTACATTTTACTTTCATATAGCATTCGCTATTTTCTGATGAAATTTAAATATATATGATGCGAGAAAAATTTAAGATTCATGCGCTCATTTAATTTGATAAAAGTTCAAAGCCTAGAAAAAATCGAATCCGATCGTTTCAATCGTGTTTTGCGCTTGATATATGACTATCCTGAAAATGCCACAGGCGAATCACCAAACATGACTTCTGAAAACACATTGGATTAGATTGGGAGTAATATATCTGTTCGTAAAATACACTAAAGAAGAAGAACAAACATTAGTAGCACAGATAGGAAAGACCTAGACACTAGATAAACGCAGTTTAATGTCTGCATCTATGAAACTTTCATATCCCAAGAGTCCTGCGATGTTTATTTGCACCGATTGATGAATCGATCTCATAGAGAAATCAGTATGTGTACGGCTAGTTCTTTATCTTTTGACAAGATGCCCGTTGTCTGAAAAAATCCTATGAAAATTTCCAGAAACCCGTTGACCAAATATGAATCGATCTTACTCACCTTCTCAAGTTTTTTTCTAAACTAAATAGTTCTTAAAGCATCCTGAGCAAGTCACGCAGCGCTAGAAGTATGTCATAAACGCAGTTTCGGCGAGTCTTATCGAATAGTTGCAATTAAACAGGTATCTTTCATTCCACCACGCAAGTTCGAGAAATATAGATAATACCAAACCAACGTTTCGACATTCATCTATTTTGCGGGCTAAAATAGTCGAAGACTACACAGCTGTATGTTCTATGCGGGCTGGTTTCGAGTCTAAAGTTTAAGATTTGATCGAATTGAACCCAACATCCTAACCTAGCTGCAGATCCGATTTGTATTCAACTTCGGATTTCAATATAGAAGAGCCGACTTCATTCAGTCAGATTACAGTGTTCTCGTTACGGTGCAACTGATAATACCTGTTGTTTGAGAGTTATCAATAAATAACTGAACGCTTGATGATTTACTAAGTCATCTAAAAATGGGATGCCGAATTTTTCCAAAACGAAACATGAATCTAGGCCTGACAGCATCCATAAATGATTCCGTCAAATCCGTATCCAAAAAAACGTAGATTCGCAGCTCCCTATCGAAAATGTAATCAGTTAGTTTTACGACATTCGATACATTGTTTTACAACGAGAAACACTAAATTTCCCTCTTGTTTGTTGACATTATTCTTGAAGCATGGCTGAAAAGCGCAGGTGGAATCGTGAGTCTATCGACTTATTCCTGTATTCTCTTGATCCTTGCACGAGAAATCCCATGTCATTTCTTCGTGAAATCTTCTATTTAGATATTGCTGGATCTTAGCTCAACTATTCTTCAGAATTCTGTCTGAACTTCTATTCTTCTATTCCAGGGAATTCCTGATGATGCGATAGAAGATCATGAAGAAATATGTTGTCTGTATCATAAATAGATCTTCCTGAGAATCTTGTATTGAGATACTGACTGAGGCTTTTTTCTTTAAAGAGTATTTGTCGCGTTTTTTCCAATATCCATGATAGGGAGTTTCAGAGTAGACCACACAATCAATTCATATAATCATCAATAAATCGCCAAATTGTCGAACATTGATTGCTTATTCACTGTCTTGGTGATATACGTGAAGTTTAAGAATGTTCTTTTCATTACAACAGAAGTCAACACCGACGCTTCATTTGATGAATCTACAAACAAAATATCTACAACGTCAACAACAATCACCATCACATCTTCATCTGATGGTTCTACAAACAAAATACCGACAATGTCAACAGAAATCAATATCATCTTCTCATTCGATGATTCTACAGACAAAATATCGACAACAACAACAGCAACCAATATCATAACTTCATTTGATGATTTCACAAATGAAATATCGACAACGTCAACAGCAATCAGCATCATAACTTCATTGGATGATTTCACAAATAAAATATCCACAACGTCAACAGCAATCAGCACCGTATTATCATTTGATGGCTCTACAAACAAAATACCGACAACGTCAACAGCAATCAACACTACACCTTCATCTAATGGTTCTACTAACCAAATACCGGCAATATCAACCGAAATCAATGCCGTATTTTCATTCGATCATTCTACAGACAAAATATCGACAACATCAACACCAATCAACACCACAATTTTATTTGATGATGTCACAAATGAAATATCGACAATGTCAACAACAATCAACACCACATCTTCATTTGATGGTTCCACAAATAAAATACCGGCAACGTCAACAGAAATCAATACCATATTTTCATTGGATGATTCCACAGACAAAATATCCACAACGTCAACAGCAATCAGCACCGGATTATCATTTGATGGCTCTACAAACAAAATACCGACAACGTCAACAACAATCAGTACCGTATTACCATTTGATGGCTCTACAAACAAAATACCGGCAATACCAACAGAAATCAATACCATATTTTCATTCAATGATTCTACAGACAAAATATCGACAACATCAACAACAATCAGCCTCACATCTTCATTTGATGGTTCTACACACAAAATACCGACAATGTCAACAGAAATCAATAGCGTATCTTCATTCGATGATTCTACAGACAAAATATCGACAATATCAACAGCAATCAACATCATAACTTCATTGGATGATTTCACAAATGAAATGTCCACAACGTCAACAGCAATCAGTACCGTATTACCATTTGATGGCTCTACAAACAAAATACCAGCAATATCAACAGAAATCAATACCATATTTTTATTCGATGATTCTACAGACAAAATATCGGCAACATCCACAGCAATCAACACCACAACTTCATTTG